AAGCCGTACGTGTGTCTGGCCGGCGCTATTGTTGTTGCCCAAATGGATAGCGAGTAGGGTCCTGGCAGCAGGAGCTCCCTATCGGCAGCGCCAGGACCCAATACACACACACTCAAACACCCAAAACACTGGAGGCAAATTACCAAAGAATGCCATGAAAATCGAGTGCAGAGCTATTTAACCAGCTGTTGTAATACGATTGAAAAGGAGTTTTCATTCCATTTCAAAATGAAGTCAGCTTAGTTTTGGCAATTGGAAAAAGTTAACCAAAAGCAACAAATATGTTGCTATACTTTTTGCTATGCCAGCTATGAATCTAACCGAAAAAAATAGAATTTTGGGCTGCAAAACAAAGTTTTCATCAAATTGAAAAAGCCAAAATGAAATGAAAAATGTTTTATATTCTAGGAACTTTGAAGAGAACATAGAACTTAATTTTTGCTCATATAAAAAGTTTGTTTGCAGTCTTACGCGAAGTCTAATAAATGCCAAGAATAAAAGTCTGCTCTCAATGCGAAAAATATATAAAAAAAAAACCCAAAAAATCTCTCTTCTGCTCAGGATACTCCCTTAGCAATTAGTCCCTCCCAAGAGCATAGAAATCTATAAATTTTCATATCCAATTTCCCATCACATGCTTAAACGTCTCGCTAGCCAAAAGTTTCTCAAGCTTCTGCGGCCAACTAAATATTTCTATTAAAATCTGGTCTCATGTGAACAACAATTTTGACGTGATATGTGTCAATGTTCCGTGGATTGATTGGACGCGCTGGTCACGCCCAATGCGAGTCTGAAGTGTTGGTTTAGGCGAGATCCGTATGTTGTGCGTGTAAATTGACTGGGCGACTAAGCGCACCCCAAAAACAAAGAAGTAAGAACAAGAAAAAGAAAAGAAACTTAGTCCGCCCTGGATGATATCAGTGCCTGGAGCGAACACCCCACCTGGTGGTAGTTGCTGGCTTTGATAGCTCGACGAAGCCAGATAAGCAATAAATTATTTATAACGTCGTCGCCGAAGCATAGCCGAAGTCCTCTTATCTAATCGCCGTGTAAATACACTTAGAGAAGCGCATAAAAAAATGAAGAAATTAAAGCTATTCCCTCAAAAAGGGGTTCAAATGGCTGCAAATGGGGTGCCTGGGGTGATATGCGATATGATATAAGTATATATTTATACATATAAATATATACATATATGTATTTAAAGACCACGGAAAGCGACTATAAAGTTATGTCCACGGTGACAGGGTCTGCGGTAGGGATCAGGGTAGAGGCAGGGCACGCGAAATTGCGATTTGCGACTCGCGTTGATAAAGGTAAGCGCCAATCATCGAGCTCCTCAAGTGTTTGTCACACTTATTTCTAATATTATTATTATTTTGCTGATATTTTATTTAATTTCTTAATATGTTTAGGTTCCAGGCGCATTTTATGTGCATGATTCACGCGCTGAAATTTTGGACACACGAATTTGCGGTTTTCGTGTTTGAGGTGCTATAAAAGTTAAGTTGAGTTGAGTTGAGGCAGCGCCAGAGATCACATCTGAGTCTATTAATAACGATATTATTTTATCGACCTGTTTGCCATTTTATAACACTTGCATTTCAGGTTCGCTATTTATATAGCAAACCTTTGATATTTAAATTCATATTTTTTCTATGAAAAGTAGTAAAATTCTAGGCAATTAAAATAGTCAACGGAAAAAGTTATTTTTAAAAATTTTGTTTATAGATTTCAAATAGTTTATAGTTTTAAAAAAGTCAATACTAGAGCTAAAATAAAATAGCTAAAAATTTAGGCTATAAACATAGCTCTAGTTAATTATTATTATTATTTTTGTATATATATTGTTTTCTAGTTCCAGTATTAAATTTTTAATAAAGGTTTTTGTATATGTTGATATATGATATATACGATTTTCGATAAAAGTTTGATGTTGATGAGATCTGGAATAGATCTTAGTTTGATAAAAGAAAAATAATTCATCCAGACTCTCTATAACTTTTTATAGTAATACCTTTTCTAAATTGATGTTGCTGAAATTTGGAATAGTTCTTAGTTTAATAAAAAAAAAAAAAAGACAATCTATATAATAAGACCTTCTATAGCTTATACACTATATGTTAACATCTTCTTTCAATTAAAAGCCCTATATTATCACTTTATTAGCCATATAGCTAGATCTCCTATCACATAAAAACCATGCAGTAAGAGCTTCTATATCTGATATCCCATATCTGATATCCTATAGAATTTTCTCAACAATCTTACAGACAAGTATTTGCTACCTCAAACACATAATTCCCGCATAAGTAAATAGCAGAGCTGAGCCCTTCCCCTGCCCAGGCTCTATGTGACCCTGTGCATGGGCTTTTTAAAGCGACTTTAAGCAAGAGCAAGCAGGCATAGATAAACACAGTCTAGTGTATGTAAACGTTGGTGGGCCCACGAAGGGTTGTCTCTAGTTCTCGTTGGTCTGGCTGGGGGGAGAGGCGGCTGCGGGTTGGAGTCTAAGCGTAGCCGTTACGTAGCGCAGATAAAGGCAACGGGCTGCCCGCCTCCTCGTCATATCCTTGTGCAAACACACACGTGTTCTTGACAGCGATTGCGCTTTTGCAACAATAAACACAACACGTAGTCCAAGGATGTTGCTTGTTTGCGACCAGCTGAGCGCACGTTGCTGATAACAGAGCAAAACTACAGTAGACTACCGCTATGTGGACATATCGCTAATTAAGACCAAGCAGGCGGCGCTGCAGCAACTTCGATGCATTGGATAATCTACTGGTAATCATTAATATCCGATCTGCTTCCACTCTCATCCAACTGATCGCCATGATTTGCCCATGGCACTCGCCTGCTATCCACCCCGACGAGAGCGTAGTGTGGCAGCTAATCATATGAGTCGCCCGCCGAACCACGACCGCGATAAATGCTCGGCAAATAGTCAAAGCGCGCTGCTGGCGCTGCTGTTGACCGTTACACAGGAGCACACAGCAGCACAGGGATCAGAGCGAGAAGGCCGCCAGGCCATTCTCACGACTCTGGCGCCCTGGCGCCAGCGAGTTGCCTCGTTGCACTTGCCCACATCTGCCATGCAGTGGCAAGTGACAACTCCGACTGTCGCGAACGATGTGTTTCCACTGGATTTGGCATTATTTTCACACACGTATACACCTGTACAGACCTCCCCACCCCCAGGGGCCCCGCCCCCTCTGGCAGTCGTCTGGGCAGCTTGTTAGCAGTTAACATCTTTATGCTAAAAACATATTTATTCGCTTTTTATGCCTGAATTGATTTGTCGTCTTCATTTCGAACGTGTTTCGTCTGCTCCCCCGTTTTCACTGTATTTTCTATACCAACTGAACCCTATAGATATATATATATAGATATATATATATATATATATATATATATAAATACATATATATGTGTGATATACGAGAGCTACTACCATGTGTTAAGATGTGTAAATTCAGTTCACATATTTACATATGCCAGCGTATTCCCAAACGTTCCGTTTCTTCTTTTACACTTTTTGCCTTTGCGGTTCGCCAAGTTTGTTTATCCATTTAAATAAAAAGAAACAAAAAAAAAAAGAAAGAAAAAAAAACAGACACAACAACAACAGAAACAACAACCGCAGGCTCATAAAATTGTGCTAATCAGCGACAAGAAGAGCGCCACGCTTAGTCATTCATAAATGCTTCGATTCCCGGTTATCCACATCACGAGATTTCTACGTTGGAAATTTAAGGCTGTCTCTAGGGACAGATGAACGAGGACGGCTATGCTTACAGCTGTAGATGTGAATACATATATAGAAGTTGAATTCTTTTCAAATACTTTTTGTAACTATCAATTTTCTTTGAATCAGAATTCAGAATTCAGGACTTAGAATTCTTAAAACTTTTTCTTAAATACTCTAGGTAGTTCACGCCAAAGCTTTCATAAAAAATAAAAAAAATAAAAAAAAATTAAAAAAAATTAAAAAAGAGAATATTAATGAATTTTCAACATTTTTAATTTTATATAAATATACAATTTTGAAATTCTCATGCTGCCTTATATATCATCATCATAGTGAGGTTTTTACGTTCTGTTATAATATTAATTATTTTCCATTTTATTTTCCATACAATTTTTTCGTTCAGACTCTATTGTATTCTTATTAAAATAATATAAGAATAGGGCTTCTATAACTTCAGTAAGTATTAAAAAATAATGTTTATAAAAGCTTACAAAACACAATTGCTAAAAATAATATTTAGCATAACGCACCCCGAATTTAATTGTGAATTCACTTGTGAATATTTTGCACAATTTAGCAGCCACAGTAACTAAATTTTTGGTGTAGGCCACAAGCCTCATATTATTTAAGAAAAAAAGTACTATAGAATATGAAGTTTTATATTATAGCATACATTGATTCGCTATACTCGTAAATGTCGACAGATATAGATAAACCGTTAATTTACTTGGAAATTTGCGTAGTTACTGTATTACTTTATTGACAATAATAAGGAAATAGCAAAGATAAACTATACATAAGAAAAAATCCTCTGGTTCAGATATTCGAAAAGGAACTGATGTTAAAGACACGCTAAGACCCAAGATTTGTTGAAAAATCCGGATAATTACAAAAACTAGTTGCTATTATGTTATTGTACATAGAACATATGTATCTCTGTTGGTTGATCATAGAATTACTTTTGGCCACAAGAACTATATAATATCTAAAATACTCTTTAAGAGCCCTAGATTATATTAATCTAGAAACACCATAGATTATAGTAGATCCGATTCTGTAATAAGAGATTTAGTTGCTAAAACTTTTATAGACATATTCGATATATTTTACAGAAATATTAACTCAGTCATCCAAATTAAAAATATATGTATTTATGTATTTTATTTTTTTTTATTATTATTAACTTAGTCATCCAAATTAAAAACATATTTATTTATTTAATTATTTTTTTTTTTTCTTTAAGAATTTTGTTAAGTAAAAAGATTTTTAAGTCTCCTGTAGCAAATGATAAATGATGTAGACATCGATCTTTTCACTGACTGCAATATAAAGACTACATTCAATTCATTGTCAGCAGAAGCAGACAGACTGTCAAGGAATTATAGCTATATCGATTATCTTATCAAATTTGCCAAAATGACAATTATGAGGAAATAGATTATATATATGCTATAAGCCAGAAACATAAAAGAGTCAAGAAATTACTTGTTGATCCAAAGGGTGAACGCAAATAAAAGTAATCTATATCAATTAAGACCTATGCCACATTTATCTACCATAGAAAGAATTTGTCTATTTCTAGCTTGAAATCAAGAATCTGAACATCAAATTTCTAATGACTCGAAATCTGGAATCTAAGCAACAAGAATTGCACTGAAAATATTTTATGAATCATTGAAATCTGAGCAGATATTAAGATTATTATATACATATGTATGTAAATTCTATCATAGAAATCATGAACCTTATATAGTACATATTATTATCGAAATTTGTATAAATATCACAAATTCAGGAATTATTTCTAATTTGATAAACTCGCTTAAAATCTCCAACTTACTTGGCAGAGGCTTGGACCAGATTCCAATCGTAACCCTCCAGGACCTTCATAACGGCGCTGGTGATGCGCTCATCCTCCTTGCGTCCGCCTTGGCCGGCGGCGCGTTTCTGCTCGGCCTTCAGTGCATAGTTGGCCAGGACTAAAGTCTCCACGGGCTTGGCGCGTTCCGTATTCGTATTGGCGCTCATTTCGGTCAACAGACTTTGCCGACGGCTGCGCGGCTTTTGTCAAAGATACAGTTACAGTTATACAGTTATGATACAGATACAGATACAGCTGCTCGGATCTCTCGGAGACTTGGATATACACCCACACGGCTGGCGAGGCGACGCGACGCGACTGACAAGCAAACTGCGACTGATCTGCGCCTGTTGACTGCTCGGCTCTCGGCAGTGTGTGTGTGTTTAGATCGTCGGCTCGGCTCGGCTCGGTTGGGCTCGGCGATCGGAGATAAGCTCAAGACGCCGTTGGTTGGCTACTCGTCCGTCCGTCCGTTCGTCTTCCCCGGCTGACGATCCGCGGCGGGGGCGCGCACATAAAAATCGCGGTACGCGTGTAAACATTAACATGTTCATGTGAAATTAGGTGGCCCCAGCCCCACAGATCCACCGAGCGGGGCCAACGGGGGCAGCGATCGAGTGACAGTTGCAAGAAAGAAGACAGCCAGAGGGAGAGAGAGAAGGGGAAGAGAGAGAGGGAGTGAGAGAGCGAGAGAGTGGGAAGATACGTACTGAAATTAGTAGACACTTTACAACCACATGTGGATTTATGACACCTCGACAAAGAGCGAGCCCGAGGGAGCAGACAGGGCGACGGAGTTGCCCACTTGTTGCAGCTGTATTTGCGGCAACTCGGCGATAAGAGCCACAAAAGTGTTCGACATGGGTAAAGGATCGTTAAAAAAAAAGGATAGAAGAAACGCTAAGAACGGGTAGCCATGAGAAAATTATATCTATTGAATAAAAATCTGGAATTTGTAATTAAGATATTCTATTAGAAGCTATTGGGTATTAAATATTTAATGTATATTTAAAGTAGATTTTTTTTTGTAAATAATGTATATTAAATATTTTATGAGTATATGTACAAAAATAGCATATAAATATTTAGTAATTTATGCATCGAAAATGTAGCAAGAATTTAAAATAATTTAATAAGAAATATTTTATATAAGTTTTGAAAATTTTTTATATATTTATTTTTATGACTAAATATATCAATATATATTTTTTAAATATTTGGTACTTTCTATAAATTGTTATAGTAGAGCTGATTAGATAATATTTTGTATATTATATAATCTCATTATATTATGATTATAAAATTATTAAAAGTATCTAATACATATAAAAAAAAATATATGTAAAAAAAAATTCTCCATCTATCAGCCAAGTCTTGAATCTCATAAGCTGCCAGCATAGACCAAACCTGAGACTCAATTCTACTTTAAACTGAGTTTAGTTAGATGCAGTAAAATTGGAAGAAAATCGAATATAACTAAACCTCTTCAAGGAACTGAAGGCTCAGACAAGGCAAGTAAGCTTGAGCCATAAGCGGAACCATAAGAACTTTTCTGTCGGTCTTTCTAAAGGTTATCATCACATCTTCAAATGCAAGTAAATGAGTAAGGAAAACAGTAAGTGAAATGCAACAGAAAATATTCTAAGAGTTCAATTCTTAATCTATACTTCAGATGATATCGAATTCATTCGAGCCAACAACTTCTATCCTATATGCATTTACTAATATATGAGTTCGCTCAGTAATATATAGTCAATATTCTAACCTTAGTCAATATCTTCGCCATTTCATTTGGATTGACACCAGATAATAACTTATATCCAAGAGATTATAAGCCACGCTTTTTGTTATTCTTACTCTTATTTCTAAATCTGAGTTCAACATAGTTGAAAACGAGACCATAGAATGCGACATCGTAAAATCACAAATCTTAAACGTGAAGAATAACTCGGTCGAAACTAGATGCTATTCATTTCATGGCCATAAAATGAATCGATGCGTATTTATGTTGGGCTTTTATTTATTACTGCTCTCTCTCTCTCTCCCTCACTCCCTATCTCTCTCTTTCTTTGTCACACTCCTTTTTACGTGGTTTCAACTGAATGTGACTTTTACCCGGCATTTCTTCGTCCGCAGCCTGCTAGGGCTTGTTGGGGTTTTTTACAACTTTATAATTTTTACAACTCAATTAACTTTTTTCAACTCAAACGCCGCCGGCGAAACGAATAAAAAACAAAGCAAATCAAAAAGGAGAGAAGAAGAAGAACGCCGAAATGACCAAAAATTTAAACAATAAAACACGAAAATGCATAAACGAAATCATAAATACCTACTAGATACGATCGAAGCGATCGAAGACGCCTGCCAGATGAGCGTTTTATGCGATAAAAAACAAAATGAAAACATGTAACGGTGGCCGCCTCGGGTATCCCAGACTGCAATGTACCCTGCAGCCAGCTGGAAGCAGTGCTCCAGCCGTCCTAAAATAAAAAGAGAGAAAAGTGCTTGGAAGATTAAATTCAGATCTTTAGAGATCAAACTTCGATCCGGTATAGCTCTTCGAAACCAAAACTTCCATATTTATTTATAGCCTGAAAAAAACTAATTAATATCTTAAAATGATTGACTTCTTTAAACAATCTATATAAACATTAAGATACTTAGGTTTAATATAGAAATATCATATAATTTCTAGAGTATATGCTTAAAATTTCATATCTCTAGTTTCTAAAGATACTGAAATCGATATTATACTGAATCGAATACTAACACAATAATACATAAATATTCTCATTAGGTAGCCCCATTTATTACTGTTCCAATCGAAACCCATATACCCCACTTAGCTATCACCAATATCTACAGGGTAGCAAGAAAATAACAAATAACAAAATATAAAAACAAAACTGAAGTGTCATAAAAGGCATCAAAATGGAAATAATACTCACAGCAGTCCCCCCACTCCACACCACTCCACCTCCCCACCTACCTCGCCATCCGTTCACCCCTTCGCACACCTCCCCCCACTGCGGAAAATTGAATCGTGTCTAGCAATTTAATGGCAGCATCTAACAAGTTCCCTCATGCCATGCCCTGCCACGCCTCCCCCCTGCCAAAGCAATTTTCTTGCCGGCGGACTTCAAAAGGCGCCGCCTTTGTTGATAAACAAAACGAGCGCCTGCAAAATGTATGAAAAAAATGTATTAAAAAACAAAAAATAAATACAAAATCGAATTAATTAAAAAATATTTTTATGTATTTTTTTTATAGAAAAGCCAAAAGGCAAAATGAAAAATTTTTTTATTGCTGCTTCTTCTCCGTGCTGCTTTTGTTGTTGCAATCAAACTGGAGCAGCGCCGAAAGGTCGCGGAAAAATGCAGCAACATCAGCAGCAGCAGCGGATGCGACGACCGCTTGACAATTTTTGCGACTTGCCATGAAATCAAATTATTTGATCTAAGCCGCCGCCAGCAGAGCTTCAGCCTCTGCTCTGCGACTAAACGAAACCAAATGGCGCGTTCGTTGGAGCAGACGATGACGTTTGCAGCGCCAATGTTAGAAAATGCCCCTCTCTCCCTCTCACTCAGCCACTCACTTACTCACTCACTCACTCACTCACTCACGCACGCACTCGCCAGCCGTACGACATGTGTTGCGGAAATATTTAGCAAAGCGAAGCGTCCGACAATATATGCCACCATCCCGCTCTGGCACTCAGCTCATTTGCAAGCAAAGACAATCAACGAAACGAACAACAACGAAAAATCGTTCGCTGCGCCGTCATTTTGTTTTATTGTTTCACACCTGATGTGCGTTCGTGTTTTGTTCGTTCGTTTGACCATCGGCACAAAGTCGGCCTGCCATTCGCCAGATCATTAATTGCCCCTAGTGTGTGTGTGTGTGTGTGTGTGTGTGTGTGTTTGTACGAGTGGGTGTATACAAGTAATTTTGTAGGTGTGTGTGTTTGTATGTGTAATTTAGCGTAGATCGTAACCATTTACTCTTGTGTTGTTGTTGATTCAAATGACCCGTTGTCTTGTTTTGTTTTCTCTTTCGACCAATCAGAGGAGGCTGGAATTGTAATTATTTAAATATCGGAATATAATCATGAACAAAAAGTAAATTAATATTTAGATTTGAACATCCATTAAATGTACCATATCGAGGAATTATTATATCATATGTACTAAACTTATATCTTTCGTATACGTATATTACATACATGTGTTTATATTTGTATGTGTGCATGCATACATATACATTTGTTCATATGTACTAAGAGAAATTTAATTCAAATACAATATGAGTTGCATTATATTTGATGTGGTGTATGTCTTGGCTTATACAAACATACAAAAGCTAGCTGCTGTGCTCTTATATATATATATCGGCCGACCGCCACAATTTAGTGACCAGGGACGTCGTTTCGTACGAGCACAACATGAAAATATATTTCAAATTCTATTAAAACACAAAATTGTATCAAAGCAGCCCTTTTAACATCTGATATTTACGTATGTATTTAAGCATAATCACAATAGGCGAACCAATTTTTGAGCGAGCGGACTTTGATTTTAATATCAACTTGATACATATATTCAGCAGGCACTTGACAAAATTCAAACCATCTGTTTCTGCAGAAGTGAGTAATTAATACAAGAATATTATTTGCTGTTCTAGCAACTTATTTACGTGCATGAGAAACACAACCTTATCAATATCGTGTAAACAAACAGGTTCACCATCTAGTTCGCTAGCCACGAACCGATAGCTCCGCAACTATTTAAATGGTTCTCAAATGGAACTTCTGGTCGAGCCTGTTGTTGGTGTTGTTGTGTTCGAAAGATTAATTCTAGAAAATAATTTATAAAAGAAATTCAATTATTTATGTAAAAGTGCAAAGAAATACAATAAATAGAAGCGCAAAAAGTAAGTTAATGCTGGTTATATATAAATTTGCAACGTGCGCGTGCCAAATGGTGAAAATTGTGCGTAACAAAAAGCCAGAGAGACTGCTTCGGCCGCAGTGCCCGTAGTGGTGGCAACTTTTTTCGACTTGCTTTATGTGTGCTTCGTTATCGTGTACGTATACGTCGCGCTGACATACATGTGTTGGTGTGAAAACGTTGAAACAGTCAGGCTAGCAACGTGCTCGCTGTAAAACCAACAACAGTGTAAGAGAGACAACTCTACTGCAGCATGCATACGTGCGTGCGTGTATATATTACACACATATGTAGATATATGTGAGTGTATGAGTGCCAGGGCAAACGACTCGCTTGTATTTTTTCGTATGTCGCCGTCGTCGTCTCCGTTGTAGTTTTTTGCCTCAGTGCAATCTTAACAATATTTTAAAACATATTTGTGATATTTTTGGCGGTTCTTGTTGTTGTAAATGCAGAAAAATGTACACAAATCGAATGCTTTGCTAGTGTGTAATGTGACAGACGTGCGAACACGTTCACTCAAACAAAACGCGGCTGAGAAATAAGAAAAAACAAATGGAAAATCATTAAACAATACCTAGTTGAAAAAAATAAAAAACCCAAAAAAAGAAGAGAAAAATTGCCAAATGGCCAAAATGGCCCTGGCTTAAGCTGCTAAGAAATGTATAAAACGAATTGTTTTCGATATTGCGTAAATGTGAGTGCATCTGTGTGTGTGTGCTCTCAAAAACAAAAACAAAGAAAGTTGAAATGAATTTGTTGCCTTGTTTCCACTTATCATGACGTCGTCGTCGTCGTAGTCATCGTCTCCAGTGTTGTTGTCGTAGTTGTTGTTCTTGTGAAATTGAAATCCAATTAAACGCAGTGCATTTTCAGCTGGAAATTAAAGCAAGCGTCAAGTGCAAGCAGCAGCAGCAGCAGCAGCAGCAGCGGAGCAGCCTGGCCACACTGTGACTCCCGAATCCGCCAAGGTAGGCATAAAAATACTCCTCATCCTTCTCTTTCTCACAGACAGACTGCAGCCAGACAGTTAGCCGTTACAATAGTTCGGGTTGAAAAAGAAAGAAAAAAAAAAAACAAAAAAACAAAACGGTGTATGCTGTTTAACGTTAGGTCGCCTCGTCCTCGACACCGAGGCCATTGACTGCAGCAGCGGAGTCGACGTCGACATCGTCATCGGCGTCAACGTTGACGTTGACTCCAAAATTAATTGCATAGATTGTTTTATTAGCCGAACATTTCATTGTGTTGTTGCTGTTGTAGTATGGCTATTGACTCTTGTTGAAACAACTGTTTGTGCTTGCGGCTTCTTCCTCTCCTCTCTGTTACCTTTGTGACGACGGCGCTGTGTTTTACGGAAGTCTTTTTTTTAGCGCCCGCCAACGCAACGTGCCGCTCACTGTTGCGATTGTAAAGAGGCTCCAAGAAATTAACATATTCGACACATGCATACATACATACATATAAATACTTACAAATATTGTATAAAAATTTGTGTGGTACGTCTGCCGGAACTAGCAGCAAGAACAGGAACAACAACAAGAAGCCGTCCCGCTGCACTCCCACCACGATCAGCTGTTGCTCTCACACGCAAGCATACAACAAACACCCACACATATGTATACTTTGAGGGAGTAACAGAGACAGTGCGCGAGTGCGAATGCGAGCCTGCGACCGTCTCACTTGCGCACCTGTCAAATGATGGCAGCAACAAAACTAGAACGTGCATTTGAAAAGGCAACAAAAACGAACGGTAAACGTTACTTTTTTTCGGTAAACGAAACGACATGAGCGGAGTACTAATAAATCAACGTAGGCAAAGAAAGCAAACAACAATTACAAGCAGCTATGTGAATAGATATATGTACATATATGTGAGTGTGAATTTAAAAGCTTGACCAGTTTTGAGGTTAGAACTGGCCCAGCTTCATAGGTCACAAACCCACACGAACAGGCATACATATATACATATGTACACACACACATGCACATGTACAGATGAATTTTTGTTGTTATAGGTGCGTGTTGGACAACATCAAAAGAAAGCGCAGCAAATGCTGAGAAGAATGTAGATATCTGCAAGGCAAGGCAGGCAGGCAGGCAAAGGCACCTGCTATACATACATATAATAGACATCATAATCATTGTCTTCTATTTGAAGAAAGCAAAACTAACAACAGCAGAAGCAAACATAATTTTGTCATTTATTTTGGTAGCGAGCTAGAGAAAATTTTAGCTCTACTGTTGCTGTGCGCCATTGGTGCCCAACTGCTTGAGATTTGTCTGTTTGCTGGGGCGCGACTCCATTTTAAATGTTTGTATGTATATGTGTGTGTGCTGTGCTGTGCTTTTCACCACTGAAAGTGTCATTTAAATAGCATTTTTTGTTGTCTGTTTGCTGCTTCTTTTCTACTCTTCATCTCTAATTGTTTACCTACACACTCGCACGCACACACATGCACGCACTCACACACACACACACAGATAGAAACATGCTTGTCTTTATTGTCGCTGCGGCTGGCAGCAGGTTATTGTTAGGTTTTTTCTTCTTTCGGTTATTTTTTTTTTTTTTTTTTTTAACCACCATGCATTTTTGCGCTGATTCATCGCTAAATGTTAATGTCGTCATGTTGATGCGCTGTTTCTGTTATTTTTAGATTAGAATTTACGCTGAAGTGGTGCCGTAAAAATCTCGACGCCGATAACAACAGCGTTGCTATCGATCCGTCTACCGTTTAACTAGTCTAACTACGTAGTGAGCGCAAGCCTTTGAAGAAGTTCCCTTTGGCCAAAATATACCAGTGTGATAGAAACAAATTTCTCTTTGCTTCAGTTTTTGAAGAATTCACATGCTAAGGTAAACAAATCTTGTTTTTATTTACCATATCAAAATGCTGAATAGTCTTCGCCATTTGGGCAGTACTGTTATACGCGACGAAGTTTTGCTTTTGCTGGAAACTGCAGCGTTTTGCATTTACAATTATCTTTTCAAGCTGATGTTGTTGTTTCTCTTCATCTTGTTGTTGCTGGGCGACGTGAGCGACGTTCAGTTTCGTTTTGCGTTCTTATCTAATTGACACATCGCACGTCGCAAGCTATCGTTTTGTTGTTCCTTTCTTTTTCAGTCTTTTTTTTTTTTTTTTACATATAGTGAGACTTACAGCTGTAGCTCAAAGTCGATATCTGTCATCAAGCTATCGATAATAACGCAGCTTGTAATATATTATTTTCATGTAAGACAAAAATGAAGAGAAACTAAAAAATATGTTTGTATAGATATACATCAATGTGTTGTTGTGCTTTTATACGCTGAACTCATTGAAAATTGTAAATCAGGGTATAGTCGTTTTGTTAAAAGTATGTAACAGGCAGAAGGAGGCGTGTCAGACCTTATAAAGTATATATATTCTTGATCCTGATCCCTGTATATCACGCGCATATTGAGTTCAAAATATCGGTGACTACTCTCGTTATTTTGTTATCGATTAAAAACCGTATCGAAAAAAAAATTGTAAAATTATATCTCCTACACCTTCACAGCTAGAGCCTCCAAATTTTAAATGTAGACTGTGTGTAAATGCCGTTTCTTGTGTAAGCAGAAAAACAACTTATTATTATTGAAATATTAGTTCGTCAAAGGGCTCAGGGGATCTTGTAGTCGAGCAGCCTTGACTGGAGCTTTCTTACTTGTTGAAATTCATACATATACATATTTGCATGTGTATATGTGGGTCGTTGTCATTTACCGTTAACTCTTCGTAAAGCGAATTATAATCGTGAGCTAATAAGAACTTTGCCTGATTGCAGCAGCCGCAGCGCCCGCGACTGGCACCGAAAGCCAACCAAACGCCTGAGCGTGCGCATAGAGAACGCATGAACCAAATAGAACGGATCAGATAAAAGAGATAAGAAGTCGAAGAAGAGGCGCAGCAGAAAACGAATATAAAGCGGAAACGACAAAAGGACTGCGAAAGGTTTTTATATATATATTTATTTAGTATAAAATAAATATGAATCAGATTCATATTAAAATTTAATGCAATTCCTTAATTCGTTTTCTTTTATGCAGGCGACTTCACACATATATAATATATATATTTATATATATATATATTATATATACATAGATAACACAGCCACACCCACACTCAAATAAACACACAAATAAGCATGGAGCTGCGTGTTGGAAACAAATATCGCTTGGGCCGTAAAATCGGCTCCGGCTCTTTCGGCGACATCTATCTGGGCACAACTATCAACACGGGCGAGGAGGTGGCCATCAAATTGGAATGCATACGCACCAAACATCCACAGCTGCACATCGAATCAAAGTTCTATAAGACAATGCAAGGTGGGATTGGCATACCGCGAATCATTTGGTGCGGCAGCGAAGGCGACTACAATGTGATGGTGATGGAGCTGCTTGGTCCGTCGCTGGAGGATCTATTTAACTTCTGTTCGCGGCGCTTCTCATTGAAGACTGTGCTGCTGCTCGCGGATCAGATGATATCGCGCATTGACTATATACACTCACGCGACTTCATACATCGCGACATCAAGCCGGACAACTTCCTCATGGGCCTCGGCAAGAAGGGCAATCTGGTGTACATAATTGACTTTGGTTTGGCCAAAAAGTTCCGCGATCCACGCTCCTTGAAGCACATACAATATAGGGAAAACAAGAACCTGACGGGCACCGCACGCTACGCGTCGATCAACACGCATCTGGGCATTGAGCAGTCGCGACGCGACGATCTCGAATCGCTTGGCTATGTGCTGATGTACTTCAATTTGGGCGCACTGCCCTGGCAGGGCTTGAAGGCGGCAAACAAGCGACAGAAATACGAGCGCATCTCTGAAAAGAAACTGTCCACATCAATCGTTGTGCTCTGCAAGGGCTTCCCCAGCGAGTTCGTAAATTATCTAAACTTCTGCCGGCAGATGCACTTCGATCAGCGCCCCGATTACTGCCACTTGCGTAAGCTGTTCCGCAATCTATTCCATCGGTTGGGCTTCACCTATGACTATGTCTTCGACTGGAATTTGCTCAAGTTCGGCGGCCCGCGCAATCCACAAGCCATACAGCAGGCGCAGGATGGCGTCGACGGTCAGGGCCAGGGTCAGGGTCAGGATGCAGCTGCTGCGGCAGCTGTGGCCGCTGCTGCCTCACATCAGCAGCAGCAACAGCACAAGGTCAACACGGCAATGGTCACAGCCAGCGGCAGCACACAACAGATGCTGGGCAGCAGTTCGGGTGCTGGACAGACGCTCGCCATGCTCGGCGGCGGTGGCGGAGCCGGTGGCAATGGAGGCGCTGGTGGCCAATTGATTGGCAACGGGGGACTCAACATGGATGACTCGATGGCGGCCACCAATTCCTCGCGACAACCCTACGATACGCCGGAGCGACGTCCATCAATACGGATGCGTCAAGGCGGAGGGCTTCAAGCTGGCGGTGTTGTGGGTGATGTACGAAATGCTAAATAATATTTTATTGTTTAGAATGTTATGCGAGGATGCGAAACAAAAACAGACGGCAACCGCCCCACACACACATGCGCCTCCGTACAGCAGCTGCAGCCTCCTACACACATATATATATACAAACACACATTTAGTATATTGCGCTCTTTATATATACATTATTATGTATATATATATATTGATATATAATTGATGTATGCGTATATAACATGTTATATGTATAGTTCATTCAGCGACCTGGTCGCTGACAACATGTTGCAGTAACACACACAGCCTACACCCCTCCCCACACACCCAGGCAACGAGAAGCAAACAGCTGCGCTTTCCTTTTGTAAATTTTTTTTGTTTTTTTTTTTTTTTTTATGCTTAATTTTTTTGCTTTCTTGAATATTTGCGTTTTGCTTTGATGCTTCTGATAATGATGTGAACGATGATGATGTTGATGATGTTGCTGATGATGATGAATCATCAGGCAATGGTTATGATTAATATATGCTAAGTTTAACTTATAATTTTAGTTGATAAACAATTGCAAGTCGGCGGCAAAAAAGCGAAAGTATGCACTACAATTAATGCAAGCTCCACCTGCAAAATACCGTTATTCGTTAAACAACAATTTGTAATCTGTTGAAGCAGAGAGAAAAAAAGGAGAGCGAGAGACAGGATGATGATATTGAATATGACAACAGTTGAAAACGAAGAAAACAACAGCCTAAAATAGAGACAAAGAAGAAAAGAGTGAAGGAGAAGAAGAGAAGAAGAGCTCGGACTCAAAAACCAAGAAACACACACACAAAGAGAAACCGACATCTACACCAACACCCACTCCAACTTCTACTCTAACACACACACACACACACACATATCACATCCGCTCTCTAGCTAGTTCTGCGTGTGTTTTGCATTTACACAGCTTAACAAAAAACAGGATAAACAAATCATTTGCATTTTGTTTACTTTTTTGCTCTGTACAACACGAACAACAAAAACAACAGCAACAAAAACAACAATAGTAGTAGCAACAGTAACAACAACAACAACAACTGAGAAATTTATCAACCAACTCAACTGAACAAATGGCATTAAAGATTTATATTAAATGAAAGGGCATATATATTATAAATTAATATTTAAATATTAAATACAAAAATGATGAGAAAAAAAAGATAACGAAACATATTTTGAATATAAGTTGTAAGCTTTGAGTGTAAAGAAAACAAAGGACACAATATGCGCCAGTGTCCCTAACTTTTAGACTAGTTACCTAACATAAAAATATACATATATTTGTAAATGTATATGTATATACATTTATATATATATGTATACATATAAAATACAACTAATGATCAATTCATAAAACAACAAATTTAACAGACATTTCGTGCACCAACAACAACTACATACATACTTAAATCTAAGTGTATAATTCATTATGAAAACAAGCAAAAAGTAAAAAAAAAGAACTGCAAAAAAATGTAATTAAATTCTATCCAATCCAACCCCTCGTAGCTTTAAGCAACTCTCTAATTTGTAACTAATTGATTGCAAACAAAGGAATTTGTAAAAAAAAAAAAAAAAAAACTATTTTTTTTCGCCTGATTTACATTAGTTTTTAACTTTATACATATGTGTTCAATATAATTTGCGAGCTCTGTTTCTGCGTATTTCTCAACGATATAACTAAACAAAAACGAAAGTAAATGGAAAAATAAAAACAAATATGTAACTAATAACTTAATACATAAACTATACATATATATACACACACTCACACCCACACACACACACTACATAACAATGTACTTTGCATTATATTATATATTTTCAATTAGTTTGTTAAGTCGTTAAGGGGCGTCAGCTGCGCATTAAAATTATAACACTAGCTAATAAATTGTAGCTATAATATGAAATTTGTCTATAAGTAATACCAAACCATTAAAAAAGAGAAACTACAACAAATAAACACAAAATTGCTAAATATAAAAAAATAAAAAAAATAAAAACAAAAAAAAAAAACGAAAAACCAATTAATTAAGTAAATATATATAAATGTAATTCGAATTCTGCGCAAGTCAAGATTATGAATTATGAATTATGAATATAGAAGCAAGAAATAAGAACGTGCAAAACAAAAGCAAACAAACAACAAATTATCTTATGAAACACATAACAAAAACAGAAAACTAAGCAAAAGATTAAAATTCTATTGATGTGAAACTCTATAAAACGTAAAGATTTCATGATTACAATTTATATAACTTACGATCATATATACGTTTAGAAGGCGAGCAAGTAAAAGCATAAAACAGAAATCGGAAAGTTAAATAAAAAAAAAAACATGCATTACGTGATATTTCTTACAAATTGTTTCATTTGTGTTTTTTTCTTTTCCTATAATTTTATTTCTTTAAATTGGTTCGGAAATTATACCGTCGACTGAGCTGACTTTTAGTTTGAGTTGATTCCCCCAAACGCACGCCTTGTAACTTGACCAAAAGAGAAACAAAAATATAAAATTAAACATTATTTTCCATAGAAAACGGAAATGGAATAGCCCGTTAGATAGTGCGTAAACCGGAAACGGAAGTTGGAGCAAAACGGAAACGAAAACGGAATTTAAAGAATCCGTTAGTGTATGAACCACTGCTGAACCACTGAGCTAGTTCGCGAAATGCAAAAGCAAAAGCAACTTAACTGAATGTACATAAGAAATTTATTCAAATAAAAACAAAAACAAAATAACCTTGTGTGATTTTCCTTCTAAATAGCGATTTATCAAAGAAAACTAAACTAACTAAACATAATAATTCAACTCTGAATGGGAAAGGAGAACAAAACTATATACTTAAACGCTAAATGTATGTCAAGTCCATACGCCGTAAGAAAAATACAAATATATATAAAATAAATATAGAAAACGAAACAAATTATAAAATAAAATAGAAAAAAAAAAAAATGGAAAAAATATTACGAAAAATTTTGAAAATTTTGTAAAATTGAATGTATATGTATATTGAGATTAGAATTTTCGATCCAACCTAATTAAAACATTGAACACTATGTATGTATATGCGATATATGAACATTAACAAACCACCAACAGTGATATGAGATACAAAATAACCAACAAAGAGTTCATAACAATAATGAAAGTAAAAGAAAGATGGCGAAGAAAGAAATCGGAAAACAGAAAACTAATTCAAATTAAACATAAAACAAATTATAAAAACAATAAATAGCTACGAGAGAACTAAAAGAGAACTAAAATAGCAACAACAAATTTCCATAAATATTATTGATGTATATTATTATTAATGCATAATTAAAATTATATTGAAAATGTCAAAGAATAGAATTTTCTGGAGCAAGTTTTAAGGCAGAGCAGCTAAAGAAATTAGGTACATATATCAAATGAACTCTGATACATGCACGCATATCTAGAATTTCATTAGCCAAACCACATAAAAAAATTCACACTCGCATCTACATTCAGACACACCCACACACATCCCAACACCCACTCACAAGGTTCAATAGCATTTGAAACACATTGAACAAATAAAGATAAAACGAAAATTAAATAATACTAACTCACATTGCGAAATCAATGTTTAAGTTAAACTAGAAGCGAAAAAGGGTAAATGAGTAAATAAATAATTAATAAGTAATCCATTAAATTAACAAATTGCAACAATATTAGATACACGAAGAAAGCGGACGTCATTTACTGGTAATTGTATGTAATTAATGTCGACAAGAAAAACATGAGGAACGCTAAAATGAATAAAATCTATGATTTTGAGAATAGCTTAACTGGCATTTTTCTTAAAAATAAACTTGAAAAAGATGTTCAACCAATTTTACATCAATTAGAGCGAGGTAATTTATTTTTAAATTTCCCGCCTAAGTCGAACCGCAATACAAATATTTTTTCTTGCAGACGGGCACACTCATTTATCTGTAAAAGTGGTGAAGTGGCGACTGCAGCTGTAAACGATACATTGAATGACTACGACAAGAATCATAAATATACAACATGTTTATATTTCTTTTAGTTCAAAAAACTATTAAAAATTGTAATAGTTTTACATATTATTAAATTTATTTATTTATTTTTAATTTATTTATTTATTTATTTTTAATTAAGCTGGGAACGTGACGTTTTCGCGTATATCGCTCATCCCTAGATATGCAAATTGCGCCTATCGCTCATCTCAATTACTACACACTGCTCTCTATCGCCCATCTCTAGTAGCCCAACACAAGTTTGCAAACGAAAAGGTATTATTTTGTAACAATTAGCCATAAAGTTAATACGATTACTGATTATCAACAATATAAATAAACAATAACATTTGCAATACTTTCGCCGGCATACAGGCTACCTCAGAGTGAAAACAACAACAGCTACAACATGGGCGCAAGGCAATCGCGTGATCCACGTTCCGTTTCAATGGAAAATCCAACTCCTGCCGGCGTCCTCGATATATCCGACGATGTGGTGAAACGCCTGAAGCAGGGTATATCACAGCAGGGTAAAGTATACAGTCTGACAAAGAATTGCAATCAATTGCAATTGCGCCGCTAAGCTTTAAGAACTTACTGTGGCCAAGTGTTATGTAACAATTTGTCAAATGATCATTTATTTATATATAAATTGTATATGTAAACTAACGGAATTTATTGCGACTTGCAGCACGCGAAAATGCCACCGTTGCGGAGGTGTCGAAACCGGTGCCCAAACCCCAGGAATCGCCCAAGAAGGTGGTCGTCAAAGAAGTAGCCCCCGCACCCCCAACAGTTGTCTACCAGGCTCCCACGCCCATCTATGTGCAAGGCGGTGGACACACGATCAGTGCGGCTGATGTGCAGCGCCAAATGAACCAAGAGCTGGTCAAGAATGACGAGTTGTGGAAACAGCGCATGCTCAAGCTGGAGGAGAACCTGAAAAAGACCAACACCATCATGGAGACGGAGTATGCGAACGCCGTCGAGGGTGTCCACAAGCGGTTTGTGAGCACAGCGGCGGCGCATAAGGTCCCACCATGCGGAGACCTCAAGGGCCAGCTTCTCGCCTGCTATCGTGCGCATCCCGGCGAGACGCTTAAGTGCATAGATGAAGTGACCCAGTTCAGGCAATGCGTCGATATGCATCGCATCAAGAAACTGGATGCCGAAGCCACAGCAGCCAAAGCGCCAGCTGCTGCCGCTGCTGCCAGCAAGGTTGCTGTTAAAGCTGGTTAACGACTTGTTGAACGTTTGAAATTGTTTCTTTCCTATTTGGTTGCCCCAAACTTAAAAGCCTTCAGAGATATGTTTAAACGAGAAGAGCGCTATCAAGAGCGAGTGTCATTGTGAACCATAGTAAATTAATTTAATATATATAACAAAGATGCGTTTGTCTATTGCAGATTGTTCATTATCCATCTATAATTTTCTAAGAAATGGGAACTCTAGTCGATCACTCAAATTTAAATTGCAATAATTTCTTTTTATTTATGCTTATTTTTCTTATTATCTTACTAACATTTTGTTAGAAGTTAACTACAAACCCGTAAATACTATATAGCTCAACAAAACACGCACAGGCATAGACATATATGCATATGTGTGTGTAAATAAGGATTACAGCAGCTGCACGATCAGCCAAGCGGCGAGTAGCGGCAGCAGCGTGAGTCTCAGCGCAGCGGCACTACTTTCACTCTTGCTGTGGCCGGCGGACGACAGATGGCGCTGGCACGATTCATCGAAACTCTTCACTGGACCCATGCAGCCGGCATAGCTCATCACATAGGCCAAGTAGTTCTGCTCGAAGACACCGCGCACCAGACTAGACCCTGGACCGCTGGCAAAGACAATCACATCCTCGCCGCCGTGAGTCTCGTCCTTCAGCGCCAGCGTGGCCATGTGGCGGTAGGTGGGTGATTCGATTTGTTCTTTGGTGTACATCTTGAGCGGCCGCCACACATTGGAGCTGTTTGCGGGCTTTGTCTCATTGGCCAAGTGGTCAAAGTAGCCGGGTCCATTGGCATAGGTGATGGTCTCATACACCATGGGATCCTTGGGCTTGTGCAAGTTCGCAGCACCCAATATATCAGCTCCACGCTCCGGATAGCCATTGAATGTGACAGAATGCGAATGATCCGCCGTCACTATAATCAGCGTCTCATCCGAATCGGTCATCTTCAGCGCCGCCTGCACGGCCAGGTCCAGTTCGTAGACCTCGTGCAAGGCAGCGCGAGCATAGTTCTGATGATGACCCTGGTCAATGCGCCCG